TTTTTTTTTTTTTTTTTTTTTTTTTTTTTTTTTTTTTTTTTTTCTGAAAGAAAAATGATTCTCATTTTCTTTCTTTCATTTCTTAACTTTCTTCTTATTTGATTTGATATTAAGAATAGTTAATTACTCTTTTAGAAAGTGTTGAATTCAAATTTCCTCATGATTTCATATTGTCATGCCCTCGAAATCTAGTTCTGTTTTACATAACTTTTTCTTCGGATTATTATTATATTGGCATTTTTATTCAATATATAATCATTCGAGTGAAAACATTGACCTCAACCTACTTTTAATTTAAATGTATTTTTAGTAGATCAATTCGGTTTATCCATATTAAACACTTCGACAGGTGGATAATCCTTGCACAGTTAGAACTGGAGTATCATATGATTCATTCAGACTTATTACATACCATTCTAGCAGGGTTAGCTGCCATCTTAAAATAGTTTGTTTTACCAAAAAAAAACATATAAAAAATAGACAATTTAACATTCAAGTTTTTGGAGCAAGGGATCTTTTATTTAGATAAAACACCTATGTCAAAAGAGTTTAGAAACACACGGACATCACAAAGTTTGTTTCAGAAAGATCTCAGAAGCAATAGATTAGGGGTTGCTACCAGGGGCGGATCTAGAGATGAATGTTAGGGAGGGCATTATCAAAATTCTTTAAGGAACCAACTGGGGCATGAAGATTATTATCAAAATTTTACATAGAATTGTTAAAAATCATCCGGGGCATCCGCCCCACCCACTCACTATGTGGCTCCGCCACTGGTTGCTACCACATAACAATTTAACATTCAAGTTTTTTGGAGCTGGAGAGATCATCACTGCACGCTGAGTACTTGAATTTCAAAGTCGAGAACCGAGTTTGGCTGGATCCCCCATATGAGTAATCGGGTGAGCACTGCAGGAGCAGAAGATGTTAAATACTACCACATATATATCCAACACAAAAAATGGTTTCTACTACAACAAGCTCAAAATAACTATCCTTAGAGTCAGGAACGCTACCAAAGAGAGACACAAATCTTAGAATTCATGAAAGCATAGATGGCAAAGTTTAGAAAAAAAAGCGGAATACGAAGATGAAAAGAATACATACCCGCAAGCGAGCAATCTCTCCAATTTGCATTCCCATAACAGCCTTCATCCCATCCTGTTAACAAACAATTTAACAATTCAAATTAAGTCTCCAAGAATGGCAAAAGACCAAGTACAAAACCATGAAAGAAGCTTGTATTATTATTATTATTATTATTATTATTATTATTATTATTATTATTATTATTATTATTATTATTATTATTATTATTATTATTAGTTAAGAAACCCGCACGAGACTCATTTTATAAAAATAAATATATCATACGTTATAATTTATATTTTTTTATAGAAATACTGTTTATTTCTGTTTTCAATGAAGTTTTTGTAACATGTGTACAATATCGATTACATGTGTCTATATTCATTTATAGATGCTACTAAAATTTTATATTGGTTTTACAATTTCATATTATAATTCAATTTAATAATCAATACTAATATATATATATATATATATATATATATATATATATATATTATTTTGTAAGTTATTTGAAATTATAAATACAATTTAATATATTTAAAACTAATTAAAAGAAGTCAACACATTTAAACCTAATCATTTACTAAACTAATAAAGGTAAATTATAATTATGAGTATGACATTCATAATTTATTTGAAGCCATGTAAAAATATATGTATAATCAAAATATGACTACATGACAACGTAAAGAGATCTTCTCCACTAACATGTTCTTTTTGGTAAATTACACATGCATTTTTTTCCTTATTATTTGTATCTTTTTATAAAACTATACTTTTCCTATATCAGTGGTGGATGCAGCTATTCAACTATGAAATCTCTATTTCTATAGAAATTTGGACAACTAAGAGATCAAAACTCTTTGATATGCAGCCTATATCACTGATGGATGCAGCTATGCATAAATACAAAAATTCAATATTTTTTTTTAATTTATCTTGAAATCCTAATGAAAAGATCAAGTTTTTTCGATAAATGATATTTGTATTTAAGTTTAGCATTTTTAGTGTTGTTTAAAATATCTAACCACATAAAAAAATTATAATAATCTATCCTAAATATAATTTCATGGTACATGGGCATCAGTTATAATTTTCCAACGAATAATTTAATAAAACTTCATATACCACGTAATTCAAAGAACTAAACCTTATGAAATCTCTATATTATAGAGAAATTGGGACATCAAAGGTGCCAGTTCTATATATGTGCCGGCTGCATTTATGCATTAAAAGAAAAATACCGTATTTACAGTTTATCCTGAAATCTGGGGGTTAACCCATACAAAAAGATCGAGTTTTCCGATAAACAATATTTAGTGAAGTTTAAATTCTTTCATGTTGACTAAAAAAACACCTAATCACATTATACATTTATGTTAAGGTATGTTAAATTTATTTTCACGATACATAGGCATCATTTATAATATTTTAATGAATAGTTTAATAAAATTTGATATTCCACCTAATTCAGTGGACTAACGCCTATAAAATCTATAATTTCTGGAGAAACGGAGAAAAATAAGGTCTCAAACATCTTTAATTTTCATCACATGTCATTGCATGATGAAGTTATGCATTAAAATAAAATACCATATTTTCTAGTTTATCTTACAAAAAGATCGAGTTTTTTCCAAGAAATGTTATATATACTAAAATTTAGCCTCATTATTATTTTCTTTTTAAAAAATAACTAACCACACTCTAATGTATATTTTTGTTCGCTAAACATATTTTCATGGTACATGAGCATCATTTCTAATTTTTCTAACGAATAATATTTTAAACTTCATATATGATCTAATTAGTGTACTAACCTT